CATTCCGCTAGCTCGCTGGTTTTTCAAAATTAGGTGCGAGTTACTGTAGGTGCCCAAAATTAGGTGGGCTCAATTATAACCCCACAAGAGTCAATAGTTCCGATAGGTGCTCACTCTGCAACAGGCAGGCTCGAGAAGACTGTTTTCATTTTCTAGCAGAATGCCCAGTTTTAGCTGAGTTCCGAGCACGGCATATAGGCTTGGCCACGTTGACGAGAGAGCACCTAATCTCTTTACTAAATAACCCCGAGTCTTTAAATCTGGTAGAGTTTGCGATGGAAGCCTGGAACTACAGGAAAACGCTTGTTTTTTATTTCAACTATTAAATGTTTACTGTATATATCAGAGACTCCCTGGTTATTTATATGTGCATAAATAGATATGTTGTTATTTTAGTTTATTTATATAGCTTTTTCTCTCTCTTTTGTTTATTCCTTAAGAAGAAATATGTTCCTTGTTTATTAAAAATGTATAGTCCGACTCCGGCAGACGGTTGATAACCATTGCCGAAATGTGCTTTTTGATTATGTATAATTTTTTTTACTCTCTTTTGTTTATCTAATAAAGTACTTTTTCATTCATTCATTCATCTACAGATAGAGGGATTTTGTTTAGTTTGTTTATTAATAAGTTGTTCTGTAATTTAAGCATCACTCATCATATTTGTTACTTGGAGTACACAAGTAAAATAATTGTGCATTCCTCGTTGATTTAATTTTTTTCTTACATTTCCTATAATCTAGGTTCCCCTTGAACATTTTCATAATTTTGAAGACATGAAATAGTTTGGGAGTAAGAGTTTGTCATATTTCGGAAGTTATATATTCCTCAGTGTATCTTTTAGTAAAGTATTTATTTTATTTAAATGCCAATTGGCCGCTACACGATAGCTTTCTGTTCCGTATCGAATTAACGATTCATAAATAGCTTTATATACCATAATAATCAATAAACTCAAATGATAAATCTTTGTACTACATGTTCTTAGGGTTTGTTTTTTGTAAATTCAAGCAGTGTTTTTCCCAAGATAAACATTAATTGCGTATTTTCCAAATAATTTCTACTTGAAACCAAAAGTAATTTTGGATAGTCACATCATTTTTATTACTAGGGCAGTCACAAGAGTAGTATATTAATTTACAGTTGTCATTAAGTAGAAAAAGGAAATGCACAAGTACTTTTAGCATCTGAAATAAAACCTTTTATACAATAATCCTCAGTAATACTCCTAAACCTGATTCTGACAACTAAGACTACCGTAAGTTGTATATAAGGGGGTATTCACGATCTTTGTGTTAACCCTGTCAACTCTGTTAGGTGTGTTAGATCTAGAAAAATCACGACGTAGACTTGTGAGAATCGACTGGTTAACATTGCTCGATCTAACAGGCCAGGGCCAATGTTAGATGTTAGTGATTAGTGACCGTTAATCGATAATTATTCAGAAATCGTGAGATGCGGTCTGGTGTGATGTATGTTTCAGAAAAACATTTTCTTTATCTTGCCAACGTTCCGATCTTTATTGAGATCATCTTCAGGGCTCAAAGTGTTTGTCTTCTGTGTAATTGTGCCATTCTTGCGTGTCGTGTTGAGAGTGCCCTCTACACAGAAGACAAACACTTTGAGCCCTGAAGATGATCTCAATAAAGATCGAAACGTTGCCACGATAAAGAAAATGTTTTTCTGAAACCTACATCACACCAGATCGCATCTCACAATTTTTGAATAATTAAGTTAGATGTCCAAAATGTTCTCACATTGCTATACGTTAGGAGCTAAGTAAACTTCATATAGTTTAAAGGGATTTCATGGTGCTTACACAGTTTTTACCCATTAAATCGTGAAATAATTTAAATGTCGTTTTTTTCTGTATAATTTTTGACAAGTCAGAATTCTACTTCAACGATTATGGATTCCAAATAACTGGTTACTGTTTCATATGATTACGACGTACTCAGAGTAGTTTTGAGCATTTGTCAGTTGGCTGTAAGATGTTATTATTAGTAAAACGTATGTAAAGGAAACAATAAAAATCCATTTTACGTATTTATTTTGTTTAAAAATTTCGATAAATATGTTAATCAATGACTAGTATTATGTTCAAGGGGTAGAATCAAAAACAAAGTTCCAACTTTACTAAGCCTTCAACCCGGGCTTCAAGGCCATCATCAGAGCCTATATTTCCCAACAAATTAGCAGCAATAAATTAACTTATTATGTTATTTTATAAAAACAAACATTTATCAATTTTTGGCACAGGTGAATACTTACTATATTGGTGGTTTTAAAAAAATCAAATTTGTAGTAAAAATACATTACCAAAACGGGAATGGTAACTCTTAATAATTTATACATACACATTTGAAAAGTCTAACCAAACAATAACCTCAGCTATAAGATTGAGAAGGACACGTGATAACATAATCACACTTATGACGTTTTTTTTTTCAAATGTACATAATGTCCTTTACTTTTCTTCTGACGTCTGAAGATTCTTTATGCAGCATATCAATGTTATCAACATCAAATTGTGCCCAGTGTGTGGTAGTATTGTGACAACCCAGTTGTGCAGAATGATTTTCAAAAAATCAGTGCTGATTTCTTTAACTGTTGATGAGCTTGAAGCCACGGTGGAAAGCTTGGCAATGTTGGAATTTTGTTTTTTGTTCTACCCCTTGTCCGTAATACTGATCATACGTCAAATTAAACTTCAAGCGGTCGATACCTTCTCTTCAGTAACGAATGAATTTCTTGACTATTTCATCCCATGTGAAGCTAAAATAATACTTTTATATTCTTATTAACGTAATATGGGCACTACTGTTATGCTCCTGGATTGATCTATTTCTAGTTAAATGAGAAATTTAGAGACAGGAAACATTGGTTTTGCCTATTAAGGTTATGTACAATCCTTCTCTGGAAGTCAACAAGCACGGTTAATGAGCTACATAACGCAACAATCTTTGCATGGATGTTGACAACCACAACTTTCCTCTTCAGTAGAAGAATTCGCTAATGAGTGCGACCGCATGGAGTGCCCTCGTCCTTTATAAGAGTCTCATTAAATAGCAGCATTCTACAGCGCACCGGCGGCAGCTTAGCCCTGGGAGTTTCGACCTAATTGTCTACATCTCATTAATGCATGCAACTTTTGTACCATTGTGGGTGCAAAACAAGGGAATGAAATTCCAAATATGTTGTTTTCTGAAAAGAATTTATGTATCCTGTTAGAACCGTGCTGTGTATATTATATTATTATATGTAAAACTATTAAAAAGCTCTGGAAAATATATAGAAAAAAGAATTTAAATGGATTTAAAAATTAAGGGGAATGTTTGGTTTTCGATGAAATTCAAAATTTCCGGTAGTCGAAAGGTGTCGCGAGTACACTGACGCACATGGGGCGGATACGCGCGTTTGAAAAGTACGAGACGGCCGCTCACGAAAACAAAAGAAAATAAAATCACCAGTCCGGACAAAATTCTTTTTATTCGCTTTATTAGTTGTGCAGCATTTATGCTTCGCGAGGATTCAGAACTAAGGAAAGAACGATAATTCACTAGCTATCACGTCCTACAAGGCTGGATACGAGGAAAAAAGAAGGAAAAACGCGCTGTGTAGAAATTGTTTGAGGTGAATCGTGAGGAGAACTATCTCTTCCAAAAAGGGAAAAAAGGAGAAACGCCCAGTCTGGTAATTTTTCATCAGAGTAATTTTCATTTAATTTATTTTCATTAACTCTTATCACGCTTTACTTTTCCTTTTTTCTCTTTTTCTTTCTTATCTCGAAGCAGGCACTGGCGGAAGTTCAACCTCGCTTTTCCTTCCTTATTTTCGTTTTATCCTCAGTTTTTCTTTGTCACAGAGAAATTGCTCCTCCGATACAATATTTAACATTTATTACCCCCAACCCGCCAAAAATTGAAACGTTTTCCGACTCCTTAGAATTAATCAATGGCGGGAATTGGATTAAAAAAAAATAAAACACCGTGTATCTCACATTACACACTGCAGAAGAGAAACTTCCTGATGAAAAGTCCACTTTTAAGAATATACTCGGTTTTGAATCAAAATTTAAAATTTAATTTACAATCAGTTAATGATTCCACAAATTTTGAAAAAAAACTGTTGGTTTATGACAATATGATATGAATATTTTTGATTCTAATTTCTCAAGGTATTTACGAAATTTGGCATCAACATTGCTTCTTGATTTAGTAATTAAGACGTTTATTTTTAAATCAATTAATTATTCTTTCTATGTAAGGTATTGGTTGAAATAAAAAAGTCAGTGTCACGAGCGGGATTCAAACCCACGACCTTCGGCTAACCTTCGGCCGCTGCTCTACCACTTGAGCTATCATGACTTCGATCTTCTCGGACAACAACACCCATCTCAACCTTCAACCGTTCTTCTTCAACGTTGGGCGTATTTAGCCGATCGTCGTGGGTTCGAATCCCGCTCGTCTCACTAACTTTTTTATTTCAACCAAGACCTTACATAAAAAGATTAATTAATTGATCTAAAGAAGTAACTTGGTCAATCGACCACAAAACGTAAATGGGTTTATTTTTAAATTGAATTTCAGGTCTAAAAACCCGATTAAATGTTGCTCTTCCTCAGAAGCAACATTAATGTTGAAATCGCCAGTGAAAATAATTGGCAATTGAGTCAACTCTTTATCAATACATTCATTAACAAGTGCATCATTGGAGTAGAATAATAATGTTCGATATATAAATTTAATTATATTGGAAATAGCTTGGTTAGGATATATATATATGATTTAAATAAACTAGGGAATTACTAATCACGGACATCTAAATTGAAATAGCATCTTTAAATAGGACCCAATTAACAAGCCTATCAGGTAGTAATTTCCAACTGAATTACATTCGGGGTTTAAACTCACTCATCAGAATTGATAATTCGCGTCTGCCATGTGTCAAGGATTAGTATCAGTTATCATGCATTTTACGAGGGTGGATTGGTAACGAACCTTGTATCCCAGGTAGGCCAGGAGCATTGCCTCCGTGAGGCTGATGGCCGCCAGGATCACCTGGACCACCCAGAGCATCATCGGCCGCTTTACCCATACTATGGCGTCCCAGTTTATTATCGGGTTCTCTTGGAATGCCTCCTCCGTCAGGTTGTAGGAGACGTAGAATTCTGACTTGTTCGAAACGCTGCATTCGTAGCTGAAACATAAAAATTTCAGATCAAAAACAACATCCCACAGATTTGTCTAAAAAAACACAAAAGATAGTTGAGCAAATTAGTGTTTAAAGGTTGCGACTTTTGAAACATTAATCAAGAGTACTGAACTCAAGATTTGTATTGCGTACAACATTGGAAGGTATTTTGTACATTAAATCTCAGTCTTTTGTACTTCAAATAAATGAAAAGGTTTCATTGCGTTTGAAAACATTAAATACTATCAATTAATTAATCTTTATGTAAGGTAATGGTTGAAATGAAAAAGCTAGTGTCACGAGCGGGATTCGAACCCACCACCTTCGGTTCACGCAGCTGCTCTACCACTTGAGCTATCTTGACTTCGATCCTCTCGGACACCATTTGTCCTGATTACACGACATTTGAAAAATGGCAAAAAAAAGGGGGGAAATTCGAAAGGTTGGGTTGAGATGGGAAGTTGGTGTCCGAGTGGTAGCTCAAGTGGTAGAGTAGCGGCGTATTTAGCCGAAGATCATGGGTTCGCATCCCGGTCGTGACACTAGCTTTTTCATTTCAACAAAATCCTTACAAAAAGATTAATTAATTGAAAGAAGTTATTTTGACAATTGTACCACGAAATATAATGATTAAATACTATTTACTACTAATATTTATTATTATCAACTGTTATTGCCAGGTCGTCCGTGCACAAAATTTAAGAGGTTCGTTGTTCATTTGAAAAGTGGCAAAATAGAGGGAAAATTCGAAAGGTAGGTTGAGATGGGAAGTTGGCGTCCGAACGGATCGAAATCACGTGAGCTCAAGTGGTAGAGCAGCGGCGTATTTAGCCGAAGGTCGTGGGTTCGAATCTCGTTCGTGACACTAACTTTTTCATTTAAACCAATACCTTTCATAAAGATTAATTAATTGAAAGAAGTTATTTAGTCAATTGGACCACGAAATATAATGATTAAATACTATTTACTACAATTCATTAAGGTTTTTAGTTGAGATAAAAAAAGTCAATGGCACGAGCGGGATTCGAACCCACGATCTTCGGCTTGATACGCCACTGCTCTACCACTTGAGCTATCGTGACCTCGATCCACTCGGACACCAACTTCTCATCTCAACCGTACATTTTGAATTTTCCCTCCTTTTTGCCACGATAGCACAAGTGGTAGAGCAGCGGCGTATCAAGCCGAAGATCGTGGGTTCGAATCCCGCTCGTGCCATTGACTTTTTTGTCTCAACTAATTAATTAACTTAATTGNGTCAGAGCAGCGGCGTTTTGAGTCGAAGGTCGTGGGGTCAAATCCTGCTTGTGAACCTAACTTTTTTCATTTCAACCAAAACCTTACATAAAAAGATTCTTTCAATTAATTAATCTTTTTATGTAAGGCATTGGTTGAAATGAAAAGGCTAGTATCACGAGCAGGAGTCGCGATAGCTCAAGTGGTCAGAGCAGCGGCGTTTGAGTCGAAGGTCGTGGGTTCGAATCCTGCTCGTGACAGTAACTTTTTCATTTCAACCAAAACCTTACACAAAAAGATTTATTTATAATGTAACTGTGTATTTTGACATATTTGTAATTCAATATAGTAGGACTCAGGATACATACAAAAAACTTAAAATTTAAGTCTCAATAAAAATCAAATGAAATCACCAACTTGACATAAAGCGAAAAAATTGATTTCCTAAGGTTTTTAATACATAGAATCCGTAAAGAAAGATTAATACGGTAAATTATCAGTGATGATAAAAATAATTTATGTATTACATCTCTCCCTAACAGCGTACGTGTGTGCAGTTTTCCTAATGATAAAGTATTTATAGGTCTCATATATTTAGATAATATCTCATACAACTGATCTATGTATCTAAGGTAGAGGCGAGTACTTTTATTTGAAATGATATTTAATTTTTAAGCTACGACAGGTCGATAGTGTATTTATTAATAAAGGGTCACTTTATTACGTTTATTTACAGGTGATTAAACTCGTAAATAGTTTTTTTTATTACATTTATTTGGTACAGGACAGACATTTTTACGTATAGTAAAATTGATATGTGTGCTTTTTGTTAGGTTTATTCTTTATTCTCCACTTTGTGAACCATATTGCTAATTAATTCACGTGTTGTTGTAAGTGTTGAGTGTTAATTGAGGGGTCCGAATTGCGTGTAAGAATCGCTGTATCATCAGCGAATGTCTGTGTCGAAATGTTAAAGTGTGTAGGAATATCTGCAGTGTATATGGAAAATAGAAAAGGGCCAAGTATGCTTCTCTGAGGAACACCCGCCCTTATGCGTACATAAGGTGAGAATTCAGTTCCCTGACGACAAAATCGATCCGTCAGACAAGATCTCATGTAAATAGTTAACAAAAGTTTTAAGCGTCCAGAGGTTAATCAAACAAAATAACATGGCAAATTTTGGTTTAAAATATTTTACATATCGACTATTGAGATAAACAGTCAGTAAATTATAAATATAATCCTTAGTATTGTATAATATAATAAATATAATTCAAAGAAGGGATATGGACTTAAATACATTATAATGTTCTACGGTAGGGTTTTTGGTAAGGCCACTTACGCAATCTTCAGAAGTTAAACTTTGTCATTAGAATCTTCCTCTAACACTAAGCCATGAAACAGAATCCGGCCAGCTAATTCGATTCAGATCATAGAATAACATCATCAATATAACCCATGATATAATCTACTCCAAAAACTATTTTATGAAATAATTAAAACGGGGCAGTGTGAGATGAAGAGAAATGTATGTTCTCTCACTCCTTGATTGTGTAGAGCACTCGTGGATGTTAGGGTATCATACGCCATGTAGTGAAAGTTTTAATCGAGGAACACACCCGATGCCACGCTATGCGACGCTACCCTACTCTACGCCCTGCGATCCCCACTATCCAGATTTTCGTCGGGTAGCATCGAGTGCAGACGAAGACAAAAGAACCGGACACTCATATTTTTATTCAAACTGCATGTATTATTGTTGTTGTATAAATTACTATGCTTGATGTCGTAAAGATGTGCACACCCTACCAAAACGTAACAAAGCGTCGGGTAGAATTGTGTAGCGTCGCATAGCGTTGCATCGGATAAGTGTGTTCCCAGTTTAAATAACTGAGACTAGTGACAGAGTACCGGAACAGCCAGGCTGGCCGATTCACGTTTAAAACTTATACATTTATGAAAATGATTTGATAGATCGGCTTTTTAAGGTTACTTTTAGGAACCTTAATAGCCAGCATTCTTCCACGAAGTCCAGAAAAAATGGAACACACAAAGTGGGGGTAAAACAGTCTCTAATATGTTTCTGTAAGATAACAAAAGGAAGCAAAAACAATTTTCGAACAAAAACTCTTGATTTTAACATAATATTCAAATCTCCAGACCTGACTTGCATAACTAACTGATCTACTGAATGAATTAAAGATCTGAAGTTTACTTTGCAAAAGGGGCGAAGGGTTCGCTATGTGCCATGGCATATTCAATTCAAGAATTGCTTTGCCAACTTGGCTTTATACGATATTTTAAATGCGCGCAGGAAAACATTGTAATCGTCAATACACTCCCAGATATACGCACTATAGCCACACCAAAACCGAAAAATTATAATCCATGATTTAGTCAAATGGAACGACAAGTCCCTTTTTGTTCAGGAGTTTTCCAGTTTGTTGATATTCACTAGTTTCTGCAAACAGAAAAAAGTCGTTTGCTTCACTACGGTTTTTTACATGTATTTACATGATCGAAATACCTTATTCTAGCATATCAACAAGATCGGGGGTGAAAATAACAAGGCACATAAAATGCAACCTTGCCGTACACTTATTTGCACTTCCAACAAGTTTGGCTTTCCACTTAAACACACCAAACCCAATGATAAGTATTCCAGTGCATTGGTAGCTACGAACTTCTGAGATACAGCCAATTACCAAAGCAAAAGAAAGAAAAAAAATAATAGAAAAAATTTCGGAGATCCGATACACCGAGGTAACTAAACCTAACCAACTTAACTTAAATAAATATGCATATAGATAACTTAAAAAAAGAAAGAGCAATTCGATTCACAATTTATCTACAAAAAAGTAGACTTTCCATTTTTTTGTTTATTATATTGATCTATGAATTGATATAATAATAATTTTTCAATTAATTAATATTCATGAAAGGTATTGGTTGAGATAAAACAGTCCGTGTCACGAGCGGGATTCGAACCCAAGACCTTCGGCTGAATACGCCGCTACTCTACCACTTGAGCTATCGTGACTTCTATCCGCGGGCACTAACTCTCCATCTCAACCTATAACAGTTCGAACTTTCCCTTTTGATACCTTGAAAACGGCAAAAAGAGAAGAGGTTCGAACGGTTGTAGGTTGAGCTGGAGAGTTGGTGTCCGAGAGGATCGAAGTCACGATAGCTCAAGTGATAGAGTAGCGGCGTATTTAGCCGAAGGTCGTGGGTTCGAATCCCGCTGTTGACACTGACTTTTTATCTCAACCAAGACCTTACATGGAAAGAATATTGAATAATATTGAATGAAAAATAACGATCCACTCTTTCTAAACCCTATTCACATTCTTGAATTAAATTGTTTCCGGAAAAAAATGGCACTAGGCTGAAATAAAGTTGGTTGTGGTTTTTTCTTGATTGTCTTTTGTTTTTTGCCTGTTTATTCCGATTTTTTCACTTTGCTGCATAAATTACCTACAATTTCCCTAATTCTATCAAACTGTAGGCTAATACATTATATGTAAAATATTTATGTCACTATTTTATTAACATAGATGATCCAAATTATTGTTTTTTGCAGGTCGGCGACAAAACGGGATCCTCGACGAATTCTTTACCGGCCATTCTCACAAAATAACTAAATTGACTATTAACTGAACGAAAATATTAAAGAGGTTTCAAAAATAAAATATTAAAAATAGCAAATTTCTTCAATGTTATGTCTTGTAAGTTGGTAAACCTATTTTGTATTTTATTTTATTGTTTTT